GTGTTTAGTTTAGTCAGCATTTTCACAGCACCTGCAACACAATTAAATCATATAAGTGACTTTCATTAGAGGTATTACAAGAGAGTCACAGAGAATAAGGAGGAGAGATTATTATAAAGATGATAGATGTTTGAAAGGAAAGAAGATGCAAAACCACACGAGAGTACCCATCAACCACCTACATGGAGAGGGGGTAGGGGTGTTAAGAGAAGAATCAATCAAAATCAGCCACCTAATCATCATCAGACTAACAATGATAATATATGAACCACAAAAACAAAAATGAGTGAGTCTTGAATGAGCAAATGAGATTCAGACAAGCACATTATAATTAAGACAAAAGAAAATGTACATTTGGTGCTGGATAAAGCAAGACAGAACCAACCGAAGGATAGAAAAAAAGTACATATACTAGTGGAGCCCTCAAAAAAATTACTGGAAATTTGTTCATTTTCAGCTTAGATTTATATGTAACATTTTGAAATCTTGTAAGTCCCTACACTTTAATGTTATAACACTAAAGACACTAATGGCTAATGATACAAATACCTACATTTAAAACAATAAACAATAATGGTGGAAAAAGGATGCAGATTAAAAGTGAATGAAAAAATTGAAAAGAAAAAGGGAGAGGAAGAGGGGGGCAGAAGACAAAATGGGTATAGCAAGGTTAGTGCATTGGTTAATCAGCATGAATTGACATAAATTATTTCGTTAAAGGATACTGTGTTCCAACAGAAGAAATTTTAATCTTTACACCTTTGTTCAAAGCAAAAAAATAAAAACAAAGAAAACAGACAGAAGATTAGTTTTAGTTTTAGTAGAGGTTTTACAGCGCTCGCAACTGCATAAGGTCATGTGAGCGTCAGAAGACTAGAGGTGTTACAAGGGAATAACAAACATAAAAAAGAGGGGAGATAAGGACGATAGATGTTTTGATAGGAAAGAAGGAGCAAACCACACCAAAGCACCCGCCAACCACCCACACAGAAGATTAGGGAGTAATGATAACAGTAATAACAGTAAAATAACAATTTGGACAAAAATTAAATTACGACACTAGCTGTGAGGGCCAACATGAGGCTGAGTGGCAATTACAGCAACCAAAAAGACAGACGGAGATACGACAAAAAAAATAACGTCCCCACTTGGGAATTCCAACTCAAGTCTTCAGCACGGTAACAGCTAAAACCCTACCCATTACACACACAGGTGGCACAGAAGCTTAGTTGTGATGGACATTAAGCAGGGTTGGTGATTTTTTTGATTTTTTTCATAAAAATCAAAAAAATCGATTTTTTAAATTTAAATCATGATTTTTTAAATCTAAATCAGATTTTTTTGATTTTTTTAAAAATGTCGACACAGTTCGGGATTTTTGGTTGCTAAAAGTACGTTCTTTTAGTGCAAAATGCATTGTCTTTATTTTAACTAATGATTAAATTAAGCAACCTAGTGAATTATGGCTACAGACAAAAAATGAAGAAAATGTCAGTCTAAAAGGAAGGGGGGTGGGGGGTGGGGGGTAATTATGCATAGATAAACTTGCATTTTATTACAGTGTGTGTGTGTGTGTGCACGCGCTTGTGTTTGTCTAAAAAGAAAAAGAAAATGTTAATTTCAATAATGAAAAAAAAGTAAATTGAATGCTGTATTATTTTACAGTGACAGGGGGGAAAGCAGACTTTTAAGCATGATTTTATTAGTCTACTAAACCTTATATCTGTTTTATAAAACCAAGGAAAGGAATTATGAATATTTAAAGATGTAAAAACAGAATACATTTTTTAAAAGTGATTTAAATCACTGAGTTTTATTTTTAAAATCAAGATTAAAATTTTTTTTTTAATCAACTGATTTAAATCAACCCAACCCTGATTTCAATTATGAAAAAAAAGTCAATTGAATACTGTATTATTTTACAGTGACAGGGGGGAAAGCAGACTTTTAAGCATGATTATATTAGTCTACTAAACCTTATATGTTTAATAAAACCAAGGAAAGGAATTCTGAATGTTCAAATATGTAAAAACTGAATACATTTGTTAAAGTGATTTGAATCACTGATTTTTATTTTAAAAATCAAGTTGATTGAAATATAAAAAAACCCAACTGATTTAAATCAACCCAGCTCTGATTTCAATTATGGATAAAAAAATAAATTGAATACTGTATTATTTTACAGTGAAAGGTGGGAAAGCAGACTTTTAAACATGATTATATTAGTCTACTTAACCTTATATCTGTTTTATGAAACCAAGGAAGGGAATTCTGAATGTTGAAATATGTAAAAACAATAAAAAATAAATTTAAAAAAAAGTGATTTAAATCACTGATTTTTATAAAAAAAATCAAGTTGATTTAAATAAAAAAAATCAACTGATTTAAATCAACCTGATTTAAATCAACCCAACCCTGACATTAAGGTGAGCATTTATTTCGTGCACACCTAAAATTTGATGATTTACATTTCGAGATCTGTTGAATAACAGAGATCTCAACAAAAGAATCCCCCCTCAAAACTTTCAAGACAATTAAAAGTTCAAACAATAATTATAACATCAAGAGAAACAAAAGACAATGGCCTAACCAATGATCCAGCATCAACAATGTGTACTTGTGAACACCACAAAGTTAGAATTTATACATTCATTCCTGCTCACATAACAATTTATTACTATTCTAATGATGACAAAATACTCACGTCTCTTTCTGAGGTTTTGGGGCAGAAGAACTTAATCGACAAGCATTCATCAAGTAATGGCTCGACACTCGTAATTTTGAAAATGAGGATACTGAAAGCCCCGATTTCTGGCTGGCCCTCAATATCCTTGACAATAGCCTAAATGCCATACCTGGGGACGTATCAATACAATTTCTTGAGATAATTTGGCATATTCTCTTCTTTGTCTTCTTGACAATATTTTACATTGTCCGCTTTGTGCCTTCTATTACTTATTTTTATGTTAAGGCAAGCACTAATACATTTTACTATTTTTGCTGTTCACGACAACAGTATCTTGAAACATGACTGCAGTGACATTGAAGGGTCATATGAAGAACATGTTAGATTAATTTTTTAATTTTCGCAAAAAATGTGTTCACCATGGCGGCCATCTTGAATTTTTTAATGATTTCAGATTTTCTCATTTCTAAAAAAAAACTATTCAAGATACAGTCCTCAGATTTGCAGTGTAAATACTTAAAGTGGGATGAGTCATAATGAAAAGAAAACATGATATATAAGACTATTTTATGTGTAGTTTGAAAAAACCAAACATATACATTAGTTAAAAAACACTCTAACACAACCAAGAATTTTGTCAAATTCAAAGACAATAGGCCCAAAATCTCTTCATTATGTCATTTAAACACCATTTCTACACGTCCTTGCAAAATGTCACATAAATATCTTGGAAAATAACTTGGCAATTTGAGAAAATCTTAAGAGACCCATGCTGAAAATACCAAAGGGAGAAAAGCATTGAAATGACTGCGTCATCTTCTCTTACGGATATTCCCAAATCTATTTGGCAAGATCTGGTTACCTATTTCAACGGTTTACAGTGTTTTTGAATGAATGCGTTAGGTGCTGGAAGTTATTATACCAGATTGAGCATTAAATGCTGTTTTCAGTGGTATACAGCATGTTAAAGTAACATATTGGTTCCTACATTCAAAAACTAACAACGTAGCCCTTTTTGTGATCCTAAAAGATCACCCCGAGGTCACAAAAACAGAAAATGTGTCTATTTATGGTGTTTTCTAAGCTTTGGAAACATGTGGAACATGTAGTATAATGGTCTAACATTATTTCTAGCCCAAAATCTGGAAATCGATTTTTCAAGCCAAAAACAGCCCAAAAATGTATTAGTGCTTGCCTTAAGCACCTAGGACCTATCTCAATTACAAGACAAAAATAGAAAACAGCCATCACAAAACAAGTTCGTCTTTATAACTTAAGTCCCTTGAGTCTCTAAGACCACACCAAACATGACACTGAAAGTGGATTTTCCCTCCTTCTTGGTTGTGTGAAACTAAAAGTCATCACAACAGACTGACAAGAGTAACCTGTAGGTGAACTTCTCATTTCAACACAGCTCAAAACCCCATGCCCAGGTAACCTTGAATCTGGCCTAAAAACCAGCTTTTCTTCATTCTGCCTCTGTCATAAATAAATGAAATCTAAACAACTGTGTCATCTTCAAAAGTAGTCAGACTCACTTGGGTATCGTTGTCGTCAGGAACTCAATATAAAAGTACAGAATCAAAGTCATTACACTAAATGGCAAAGCAATAAATGAAAACAAGACACTGCTGTGTGATTTTTATTCCTTTCATTTTTTTCATCTTCACCTAAGGGGCCTATATTATTGGGGCAAAATTAGGAAATTAAAGACCTAATAGTTATTTGTGACTGTACGTTATTAAATTACTCACTTGAGCCTGAGCTATTTTTCATCCAACAACCATTGTCCATTGCAGCCTGACAGTTTGGGGGTACATTGAATCATTTCTAGAATACCGTGTCTGGCAAAAATAGATTTTGTGTGCTCAATCACTCTAGAGGATGATGTGGGTCTAAGAAAAGCAATCTCAATCCAGCGTGAGAAGCAGTCCACTATTAGTAGCTATTGAGCTCCCTTCCACTCAAACAAGTCCATTCCCACTCTTTGCCACGGATAATCTGGTGTTGGTGTAGTTTTCAGTGGTTCTGGAGGCACTTTTCTGTATTTCTCGCATATTGGACAGCCTGTAAGTTCTCCCTCAATTTGCTTTGATATGCCAGGTCACCATACTGATACTTGGGCTAGTGCTCGGCATTTGGCAATCCCTTGGTGACCTTCAGTGTCTTCAGGGAGTCTGTGCATGATATCTGTCTGCATGTCTTTAGGAATTACCAGTCTACTGTCGTACAAAAGAAGTCCTTGGGGCACGGCAAGTTCACGTTGGATGGTCCAAAACTTCCTGCGTTCTTTTTACATGAGGCAGGCCATCCTGTTTGACAGTAGCTTTTGCCTGTTCTGGTAACCTCATCTTGATTTTGTTTGGTCTTGATTTCCTCCAGTTTGCCCTTAGATGCTGGTAAACCCTTCACGATGGCATCCACATAAGAGTGAAGTTCCTCATCTTGCTGCAATTCTCTATCATTTGCTTTTTGGAGTGGTGCCCTTGACAAGGTGTCTGCTGGGTAGAGATTTTTCCTACACGAATACTCGATGGAATATGAGAACTGCATCAACTTCATTCTAAATCTCTGAATCTCAGGAGTAAGTACGAGGCTTTTATTTTGGAGAAATGCGAGCAGTGGCTTGAGGTCGGTTTCAACTTTGAAATTCTTTAGACTGACAAGGAAGTCAGAAAACTTCTTGCATGCCCATGTGACACCTAAGGCTTCTTTCTCTACCTGCGCATATCTTGCTTCAGTGTTGGTCATAGGCCTGGAGGCATAACATACAGGTTTCCAAGTGTCTTGATGCTTCTGGAATAATACGCCTCCTACGCCTGACTTGAAAGCATCTGAAGAGACCTTAGTCTCCACTTGAGGGCTGTAATGTGCTAAAACTGGTGCCTGACAAAGGGCTTCCTTGAAATGCCTGAAGATGATTCAATATCTAACAGTTTTCTTTCTTTAAAAGCTCTCTCAGCGGGGCCGTAACGTCTGTCAGGTTTTCAACAAACTTGCCCACATGGTTGACCATGTCCAACAGTCTTCTAAGGTCAGATATGTTGTTGGGCTGTGGCAGGTTCTTGATCGCTTTCAGTTTCTGTATTTGTCATTTAGTGTAATCCTGGCTTCTCTCATCCTCTGAAGGACTTGCTGCACCCTCTTGACATGTTCTTTTTGGTTTGAACCACTGATCAGAACATCATCAATGTTGTATATTACGCCCAGTATCCCTGTCAATAGGTAGCTCATTTCTCTGTGAAAAACCTCTGGTCCTGAGGAGATTCCAAAAGGGATCCTTTTGTACATGAACCTTCCAAAAGGAGCGATAAAAGTTGTCAATTGCTGCGAATCTTTCACAAGGGGAAACTGATGGAAACCGCTGTCACAGTCCAGTTTGGTAAACACAGTTGCTCCTGATAATTTAGCGAACAGGTGATCTGTAGTTGGGAGAGGATAGTTTTCCCTTTTCACATTCTCATTTAACTTTGTTAGATCCACACAGATCCTCACCTTATCGTTCCTTTTTGGGGTCATGACGATCAGCGCACACCATTCTGTTGGCTTCTTTATTTTTTCGATAATACCGACGTCTTTTTATTTCTGTAGCTCCAATTTCACCTTTTCCTGTAGGCAATGCAATCCTCCGAGGGGTAGCAACTGAGTATGGTCTGGCATCTTCTTTCAGCTTGATCCTGTTTTCAGAGGATACTCTTCGAAGACCAGTACACGGCGTCACTTTTCACCCGATTCTGTTACTTTTAGTTCGCGTGACTCAGCAGCCCACCGGAGCTCCCCGGCTCGGGGTCACGGGGTTAATGAGCCCTGAGGCGACTTTGCCGGTGTCGGTCGGGAAGTTCGCATTTTTGACTATGTTTAAAACGATATAACTTCTTCCCCATCCCACACAGCAAACCATTACGCGGATGTACTAAAAGCTCAATGTCTTGAGATTTATTCTGCGTTAGAATGGTTAGTTTCTGTGCCTTAGTTTTTGTTCTAGACAAGTGTTTGTCGAGTACCCAATTTGTCCTATTTTAGTTACAAAGTTATGAATAAATGATTGTTATTTTAAAAAAGGCACGACAGATCTCTCCAAATTCTGTGTTAAACTGACTACGAATATCATGTCTTTTACCATGACAAATCTTAAATCTGCGGTAGTAGTAATAGTCAAGTTATAAGAGAAGAAAGATGCACATCTGCATTTTTTAACTAAAGACGATCAGCGTTAGCTCTTATTTTACTATTAAACAAGAGAAAGTTACTCTGCGTTTGTTCATGAATCATGCTGCGTCTGTGGCAGCCTGCATACAACTAAAAAGATATAATATAAGCGATTTAAAAAACCACAAAACCATGTAAATACATGGGTAGAGATAAACTTCTAGTTTGGAATAAAAATAACGACAGCTAAAACATTCATTCATAGTTTTTGTGTAGGAAATATGCGCGGACACAATTATGCATGTAAAGAAATCAGTCACATTGTCAGTTATTGCAAATGGTCATAGAAACGTAAAAAAAGCTGGAAAAGTCTGGTGCTGATTCAGTGTCCCTGGAAAGCTAGAAATTATTCTTATAACCCAATTACGAGAAGTCATCCCTATTATTCAGTCAACTTACAAAACCTAGACTTGGCGTTTTAAGAAAAGTAAGCAATTTCTGGAGTGTAACAGATACTGTTCGTGTATTAGATCTATGTTGAAGATATATTTTAGCACTAAAATCGATTTCTACTTTTCAGTGAGAAACTTCATGATAACTTTTATAAACTTTCGAGAAAATATGCGAATATTCATGATTATATTAGACACATAAAGTTGTATTTGGAGGAATTACTTCGTAGCGAATTGTGTGCCCGATGGATAAAATTGCAAAATTACAGCCTTCTATTATAAGCGCAGATACCATTTTTTCTGAGTATCTGCACCAATGTTATGTCGTCCATATTCCAAAAGTTCGACAGATTTTGACGATGCGTTTTTTTTATATTGATTTTTTTTCATTCACGCTAGTCCCAAAAAAATTACAATTTAGCATTGCCGACTCCAGCGCGTCTAATGAAATTATAACCAGACAAGTTACAACGTCCGTTCTTTTTTGAGTCTCAAGAGCAGAAATGCGTGCTTTGGGTGCACTAAATGAGAATTATCATAAATACAAGGATGCACCTTAAATTGTACGTTGAAAAGTACCAAAAATTAAGTCGGCCCAGACAGAGCGGCGACAGGGAGCTGACCCCTGTGACCCCGACGTGATAAGGCGCCCGGCGGGGAACCCCCCGCGGCAACTAAAATTCCACTGCCGGTGCGCCGTGAGTAAAAAGTTCTGTAAAACTTTTCTTGAATCTGATGTTTTGTCTTTGGTGGCATGTTATTTGAACATTTTGCAATGCCTTAATTGCAGGTCTCCCAAGCAGTGGTACCCCTCAGTCCTTCCAGTACATATTTCTTGTTCTGTTGACTTTCCAGTCTGTAGCTTCAGATCTGCTGAAAACTTGCCTTTGACCTTGATTTCTGCATGTCCTGCTCCAAACAGTCTTTTATCTGTTTTGGAGAGTTTTGTTTTGTCTTGTATCCTGGAACTGGATATAGCTGTGACATCAGCACCACAGTCAACCTTGAAGCGTATCTATTTTCCGTTTACTTCAACTTTTGCATTCCAGGCATTTTCTTATTCTTCTGCAGTTATGACTGTGCCAATGTTGGTTCTACACCAAAGCATAGGCTAGCCTACATCTCATTCAAAACACGTCAAGTTAAAGTCGGAAGCTCTAGAAATTAGAAAACAAATTGACCCACTTAGACGTGAACGGTGAGGAGCTCTACTTCAAGATATATAACTCTACTCAAATGACAATAAATAGAGACTAGATTCTAGATCTACGCCCTATAGATAAGAGGCCTATCTAGGCCTGCTCTGTAAACCTAAACTAAACTAAGTACTACAGCTAACTTAAAGATATCTGCAGTTCCCACCCCGCAATTGTTATTCGCCGGTTTTGGCCCCAAAAGAAGGGGGGTTTCTCGCCCCCCGACCTAATAAAAATATGGTGGGGGTATTCATAATTTGATGTTTTGCAGTTGTTAGCTTTGTAAGTTTGATATCTTAGCTCGCCACGGATCAAACGTATAGATCTAGATCTAGGATGTAGATCTAGATCTAGGCTCGGCGATTGTTAAGATTCCCGCGTTTAATTCCGATGTGCGTTTTTCATACCCTCAGGCATATTTCGCTTTGGTCCCTAACCTTAACCCTAACCCTGGCCCCAACCCTAACCCTAACCCTGGCCCTAACCCTAACCCTAACCCTGGCCCTAACCCTAACCCCAACCCTAACCCTAACCCTGGCCCTAACCCTAACCCTGACCCTAACCTAGGGTAAGGGACCAAAGCGAAATATGCCTGAGGGTATGAAAAACGCACATCGGAATTAAACGCGGGAATCTTAATCGCCCTAGGCTCAAATAAGGGGGGGTGGGGGAACTACCGAAAAAGCGCCGAGACCGAGATATCATTACGTAGACTAGATCTAGATCTCTAGTTCAAACAACATGATGTTAACACTCTAATTACTAGACTCCACTATCTAGATAGATCTAGATCTAGATTTCTAGAACCTAGAATCTAGATTCTACTGCTAGACTATCTTCTAGAGGTCTAGGAAAACAAACCGTAAACCCCCTAATTAGCCTAATATTCCTAATTCTAATTCCTAATTAGGCCGCCTCACGAAGACTCTAGTCAACGGCACGGGATAAAAGAAGGACTTCAGAGGCACTGCTTGGATATGGTGGTCCCGACTTAGGACTAGGTGACAGGGAAATATAACCCAGAGAAAATCTAGAATCTAGTTTTGACCCCAACGACGATTACTTCTGATTCTAAGTCTAAACGATTACTTTTTTTTTCGCGTGCCGATATGTATGTAGATCTAGATCTAGTATGTAGAGACAGCCTTTCAACCTAATTGCAAACAAACATCGAATAGTGGTCAAATTCAGAGGGGCATGCCCACCTGAAACACCCCATTTTTTTTTTAAAAAGTCAGGGGAGCCTTGTGAAAAACAAGTGAATTTTACTGCTCATTTTGTAGGCTAGATTTAGATCTATATCTAGATCTAGGGTACTGATAAAACATAAAACATTGATACGGACTATTTATTTAAATCAGTATCGAATTTCTGTAGGCTTGGCTTACACAAAAGTCGGGACCACCATCATATCCAAGTAGTGCCGACTTCAGACGAGTAATATGTTTCTGTACAGATAAGGACACTTCAAATTAACTTCAATGGCAAAACACTTACCGCCAGGTTTCGTACAAGAGATCAGAAAGAAGTGGCACTCATGCAAGGCCTTATCAGTCTTTCATGAAAGTCAAAGTATAAACACCGTTCACCGTGGCCCGTGGCCTTAGCCGTGAGATGAAGAGACCAAAAATGGTGTTTGTACGAAAGAGATTGACACCATCAATTGATTTTCCTTTTCTAAAAGAGTATATTTGCTGCTGAAAACTGTAACAGGATTAGTGACAAAAATAGTTAGAAATGTTTAATAACATAGATCTAGATATTGACTATATTCAAGTGAATTATATGTTTTCAAGGTAAAATTCTTGAATCAGAAATTATTAGCTTTTAGCGAACTCGACTCGACAATAATATAAAATAAAATTCATACTAAATGTCGTAGCGTACTACAAACTTCTTTCGACAACTTTACACTTTACATACGATAGCTCATGATGATGTTCTTTATTATTACAGTGTAAACACATGTGGATACAAGGATTCATAATGGTAGTCGAAAGTCTATGATATTTCTCAAATCCTTTTTACAAGTCTCTACACAAAGTGAGAGATGAGTTTGACAAGATTGGAATATTTACTTGGAAGCATTACTTTTTTAGAAGGTTAAACCAAAATTCCCCACAACCCCGAAGCATCAGAAATGGGAATGGAATTGTAAAAATCTATAAATGAACACAAATTTATTTGGCTGGTTGCACGGCTTTCTATGAAACTTAAGACTAAAAAATATACGGTAATATATAGAGCTGGCTGAATAACTAACGTTTGTAGGCCTACTATTTGCGAGCTCCCTTAGTCTACTCCACCACCCACTCTCTCTCCTTCTCTTTCTCGGAGATCTCTCTCTCCCTCTCTCTCTCTCTCTCTCTCTCTC